GTCAATGTATACATGTATCACAACTTGACTCACATTTAATATCAGACAGATTCTAACTGTAATTTACATAACTGGGATTTTCCTTGTACTAACAATAAATATAACTAATCTATACATTAGAACTATCAATATCAGACCAGGAAAACATTCCATGATCTGTAAAGGAATGATTTCAATAGAGGGATGTAACTATTCAAACATCCTATCCTAAACATCTCATGTATCATATATACTGTACATATACAAAAATAATAGAAACCCATGTATTATCATAAAATTTCATTCAGTACTATTCAACCATTCTATCCTAAACATCCTATGTATCATATACAAATATACTGTACATGAAACCCATGCATTATCATATCATTTCATTCAGTAACATTTTTTTTACTTCCTTTTAAAGCATAAAATAAACAGTAACAATTCTTTATTTCCTTTTAAAGCATAAAATAAAGAAAGTCGAACCACTATAGCAACCAAGTATTCAGTGGGAAAAAAATATCAACCAAATATTCACTCTTAAGTTTAACATAAATCATGTAAGCTTAACAACAAGGTAACAAATGAATCTGTTGAAATAAATCCTTAACTAGGGCTAAATAGCACTCTGGTAATGAGACACAGTGTGTGATGATGCGTGGATTGTAATTGGTGACTAGTGAGTAACGCAGCAGTCATCTCCCAAACCTCTGCTTCGTTTCTCCGTACATATGAAGTAAGTCTGTAAATGATTTATATCCTATACTATGATGACTCCTAGTTGACCTGAAAAAGAACAGAATTCTATTGAAACACGTTATTTTGTTTTATTCGTCCAACAGATTAACAGTAGCATCACAAAGAAGACATTCCCCTGACAATATAGTTTTGTTTTATGAGAACTAAGTATACTTTTTGAATACTGTAAAAGTACTTTTTTCCATATGGTATCAATGCGATTTTTTTTGAAAATTTGTTCCAGCATAACTTAAATGCTTTTTAGGCAAATAGGGACAATCTGAAAAATCTACATAATCTTACAACTGCATGGTGATTAAACAGAAACTGCAATTCTACTGATTTATGACCCATTCATAATAAAACAATATGTTGACAGCATTCAATTTTTATGGTTTTTTACAACCTGATCAATTCTGATGACAATTTGTAAAACTAGAAGTTGAAACAATTACTTACAGAATTTCTGTGAGCCGAATCTGCCAGGGTTGAAACCCGTATAGACTCTCTCCTACCCCGAACCGAATAACTAAGTCAGGGTCAGGGAAATGGAAAGTTTCTGAAATTAACAAATGACAAGTAATATACAGACTAAACATTAGAGTAAAAACATATGTATGTTTGTATTACATTGTATATTAATGTATTTTTGTTGGCACAGTAAAACTTGTTTAGTATGAACACAGATATTGCAAGTTCACAGATATTCCAAAGTTATCTTGGATCTCCAGCTATATAAATTAAAAGAATTCTTTATGGATATAATGAATTACTCATATAGAGAAGTGATTTCATAGGTCCAAGTGACTTCGCTATGATTGAATTTTACTGTAAAGTAATAACCATCTTTCAGCAAAAAAACTGAGAGTGAAGGTGAACACATCTATAGATACACACCTATGTTTTAAACAACATTCTTTAAGCAGTTATTTCCAGGGCGTTGCCCAGATGGTCATCAGAGTACATGTACCTTCACTCAGAGTTTGAAATGCTGAACAATCAATATAAGTCTGCTGCCTATGGTATATAATTTTTGTAAACATGACATATCTGTTGTTCTATTCACCTCTTATGAACTCGTCCACAGTTGATGGGGTGATGTCCTCTATGCGCCGCTCTCTGGATGCCACCTGTTGACACAGTAATCGTGTGGTATCTACCAGAGCTTGTCGCCCATTCTCTTTTGACAACAACTGTATATCAACCTGGTTTGATTTACAATATCCTGCAAATAAGAACAAATTTATTAGTATCTTCTTTATGAAAATTTCCAAGTGGATACATGATATAAACAACTTAAATTTGTCAGCTCTTAAAAATATATATACATTCTCCAGTTTCAAGTTCTTTCATCATCAAGATAATCTTATCTCTTTTATTCAGAGTTCTCTTTATTTGGAGTGTCAAATAACCCACCGAAGTTTCATTTTTAGCAACTGGTCTTGAGAAAATTTTTTAAGGTATATCTTACATATTTCTTTGTGTAATGTTGGTCCCCTATTGTTGCCCCATTCTACCTCTCAGTGGCCCCCTTAAAAGAGAGTGTGCTCAGCAACAAACTTGAATCCCCTTCCCCCAATGATGCTTTGTAGCAACTGTTAATGATATAACACTGCTTAATGATACAAATATCACCAAGCATTGCAACTGCAACACTTAATGCCATAAATTACCGTATAACTGGTTTTTAAGGCGGGTGCAAATTTTTGCGATTTGATCCTGAAATAGGTATATTTATTTTTTGGGATTTTAATTTTTGCGATTTCACTTTGACAATAAAGTCTTTTTTTATTGAATTTTATTACTAGACATTTAAACAATAAAGTCTATTTTAATTTTTCATCGAACAAACCAAAGCATTTAAAATACAGGTGACTCTCGATGGCTTGAACTCCGATCTCTTGAAGTGAACCTCCGGTCCCGTTTTTTCCTCTATATAACTAAGCAAATTTACTCCTGATCTCTCGAACTTCTATCTCTCGAAATTCTCTATCTCTCGAACCAAAACCTGGGTCCCGTTACACATATTTCATCGAATTTTACTCTCTATCTCTCGAAGTTTTGATTGCGCTTGTATACACGCCGATCAAGCGTAAAATAGATGCAGTCTGGACTATTGCATTGATGGTTGACCTTTTCAACCACTAATGCTAAATCGCCGCTCAATGAGAGAATGATATCAATAAGTGGATGAGCATGTCAACTATTAATGCAATGATTTATGACATTTAGGGTTGCATTGCAACGCTTAATGATATTTGTATCATCAAGCAGCGTTATATCATTAGCTGTTGCTACAATGCTTTGTGGCAAGTTTGCTTAAAATTTGCACAAAGGTTCTTAAGAAGTGGAAAATGTGAAAAGTAAATAGTTCTAAATACAGAGGACACATGTCAGACAGAATGAGATGCTGGACCTGTGAACAGAAAGCTCACCTGAGCTTTTAATTCAGGTGAGCTAAAAATATTTTTATTCACATGATAGGACCTGTTTGTTTACCGTTTGTGTGAGGATGCTTCTCTTCACCAGAGTGAATAACGACGGTATATCTCCTCTGCTCCTCGTCCAAACATTTCTTCTGTGCACTGTCTATTTTTTCCTTCAACTCTTTACTTTTTCTTTTTAAATAACCTGAAGTAGGAGAAAACAAAGTTAAATATAAAAGTTTAGCTTTCCTTATATACGTGTAATACATAAATTTTTAGATTTTCTTTCTAATATTTACTGATACATCATGCAAATTATTTCAAACATATTCATAGCATGAAATTGTCTAAAATTAAAGTATATTTATTGTAATGAAAATGACTGTAGATGTTACGTTACAGTTTTATGTATCCTTGCTCAAGTCGATAATATGTTGTGTGCAAATATGCACCTTAATACATCCAATATTTACATTCCAATGTATCAGGTAGCTCTTAAATAAAGGTGGTTTTTGACTAACTGCAGAACTATAGCATTATTTTTTATATATTAGTTGCTACAGATCCCATAATGCAAATAAGGTGCAGTTTATGGCGCAAGATTTTCTGTGCACTGATTGGGAGAATTTCTACACCTTTTAAAATTGGTCAATCAATTATAATCTTTCACTCCCTAATTCTAGACACATTTTTAAATCAATCTACAAAATTTTATCTAGTTGTCTCCATAGACCAAAAAACTCACTTATTTTATAATTTTCTGCCATCCAACAAAAAATTAAAACAAGTGTATTTATTGGTCTATAGAGACAACTACAAATGATTGGGAGGTGGATAAAATACACAAATTGATTAAAGAATGTCATTTTGTCTGGAATTAGGGAATGAAAGGAAGTTGATTGACAGTTAAATGTTGGAAAGTGGTGAAATTCTCCCAAAAAGTGGGCAGAAAATTCTTTGCCCTAAATTGCACATTATTTACATTATGGGGTCTGTATCATTATAATCAAAGACTAATATGTATATAAATCCAAAATGCTACAGTTCTGCTCCTAGGTTTTGACAAGAACCTTATCTTAAGCAAGAATTGTCAATACTATAAATTTTAATAATAATAATAATGATTGTTTTTTTATATAGCGCTTTTCTAGCATAAATGCTACTCAAAGTGCTTAACAATACATTATTACCCCAGCAGACCATAACGATCTAATATCTTTCACTGTCTATAGCCAGGTACCCCTTTTACACTTGGGTGGAGTGAGGAAATTATTTATTTTGTACTGATGTCTTTATTAATAGGAACCCATTTCAATTGTGGTGGTCAGCCGGGTTCAATTCCTAGTGCCCAGATAGCTCAGTTGTTACACATGACCAGAAATTCTGGGGGCCTGGATTCGAATCCAGGTCTGGTCCATTGCATTTTCTCCTCTCCCGTTACACCATAAATAAACTAAAATTGTGTTCATTCCAGCCACTGGTCAAACAATCGTGCATAATGTAAAATGTTATATAAATTTCAATCTATCAGGGACCTATATATATTTTAAGTATATAGGTCCCTGAATCTATTAAATAAATTTCAGAGTGACACTTTTGCATTTCAATGCCATGCAAATATCTGGAACAATATGTATTTTTTCACTGTGCCCTGGCAAAATAGTGCCTCTAATATATTAACCAATTTCACACCTGTCCATTTTCTGTACTAACCATTCAAGTCATAAATACTGAAATAAGATACTCCAAATGCTATTGACCACACTATAATGTTTGCTATATCTGGGAATGAGAATTCTTCTTCACAGAGAATAAGTCCTAAGTGTGTTGGCACTTTTTTCAGGTCCCTTGCGTCAGATTTTAGTTGTGAATTCTTCCATTGGTAGGGAAACACGGGGAAGCGAACGCTGTAAAAACATTGTCTTATTAAATCCCCTACGGCTATTAAAAGATGAAAGACCCTTAAAAGTTTTTCTAACATGTTAAGATAATTATTTTAGTAGCCTGTGGTTTAAATTTTGTGTTATAACGACATTTCACAGCTCAGTTTCTCTGTTGACAAACCGGTGATCTCGTGTACCGGATGGAGAACAGCGCTGAAGAATAAAGTGTTCTTACTTGTCATTGGTTGAAAACGTTTTACTTGGGATCATTTCATTGGTTGTCTCTTTCAATGTGATAAGCGGATCTTTTGGGAACGGAGATCTGCCTTTTAAGGATTATATAAGCTCTTTTAGAATCATTATGATTGAAGGTATACTACAAAGTCATTACACTTATTTACTAGGTGATTTAAAAATATAAAAGAAACTCCTCAACCTCGTTCGGGCTTTTAAAAGTCAAATCAAAAATATTTTTTAAAGAAAGTTTTAAAAGCATCTATTTATATTTTCTGTAAACAAAAATGGTTAAAAGAAAAAAAAAGAAGAACAAGAATTAGCAAATTGCACTTTTAAAGATTACATTTTCTATACGATACTTTTAAAAGCAGTATAGAACTATTTAAGTGTTGAAACAATACAAAATCTAGACAGCATTGAACATTTCCTTATTTAAAAGATGTGAAAAAAGTAGTCGGACCACGACGAGAGTCGAACTCGCACCACCTCGATTAGAAGTCGAGTGCTCTATCCAGTTAAGCTACGTGGTCTTACTCTTTCGTCTTTATTAACGTTAATAATATAAATGGTAAATAGACGTTGTGAAATTTTCTGTGTCCTATTTCATCGTATTGCATCATCATTCATTATCTGTTGATCGAGCTCACCTCCCCCCCCCTCCCTCCCGACTGACGAGCATAGTAATGTAAAGACATTGGAATAACCATTACAATTATTTTTAGGCATTTCAGGGAACAGCGGATTCCAGTTATGATTGCATTCGAAGTTAAAATAGGCGCAAGCCGATAAGGAAGGATGTGCATGACCGCCTTGAAGGCCCTAATTGTTCCTGGGTTCTAGCTATTGTTTAGGGCAACAATGATGTCTTATAACATTATACAAAATATTTCTTGGTTTCTTTTGACATGATTGACGATTAGATAATAAATTTATATACACATGTAATATCATAATATGAAAACACAAATCTGGCATATATAGGAGTCATGAAACAAACTTAGACTTAAGGATGTACAACACACCTACCCCCAAAAATTCCTGTCGTTTAATTTTCGTTATTTTTGTATATTTAGTACATGACTATATCTACTGCATGTATGCATATTTTGGACAAAATCGTTCGAGTGGTTTTTGGACAGGAACTTCCGAAAGTTACCCCCCTTTAGTTGTTTACAAGGAGAGAAATTTTTAATCAATGAACTACTTAAACCTTGATTTTCAAAAAAACCAGGTTAGATATAAATGTCAAATTTCATTGGCTTATTCTTTTAACCATTTAACACAAAAACATAGTCATCTTTTTGATATACATATCATCAAAACAATTTTTAAAGACCTTAAACTGAAAAACTATGAATTTTCTAAGCCTTGAAAATTGCGTATTTTTCAAATTCAAAATTTTTTTGTGAAAAAACCTGTCGTTTAATTTTTGTAAAAAACTTTCTTTAGGTAGCTGGTAGTAAAAATAATCTTAATAATTTTTTGTATAATTTTTGTACGACCAGTTTTGATTTAATAGCGGAAAATTACCCCCTCCCCCTTTCTCAATAAAACACGTTCCCGCGCGTCTTTCAGACGGGGGTCGATCACTTTGTTATATCAATCTACAAATACACATTTAAAAAATTAAATTGGAATATTGCTTTTGCTTCAAAAATATATTAACTTACAAATTTAAAAGTTCTCATATGTAAAGCTTATTTAAATGTAGATTTTTAGGCAATTTTTGAATACCCCTATCACCCCCACCCCTTCCTTTTTTGCGTCGCAGACCATTTAGCGTTTGACGAAACGTCGTTTACAGTGCAAATATACTGGTATTTCGTCAAGAATCCCGCAGGTATGCATTAGTTTTTAAATTCATGAATGCAGAATAAATATTGACTACTCTTTTTATATGTATCAGGAAAAAATTACTGAAAGATTTTAGTGTCTAGTCCATATACGTATGCGTTATGCATTCCTAGTATCTCATGAAACCTGGATACGAATTCAAGTTTTGTTGAACTTGAATATGTTGATTTTTAATTTTATTTCTTTAATTTTATTCATTAAAAAAAATGGTGTATGTTCAACTCTCCTGTCCTGTGATATAAATGGAATAATTGTAGTTTCTTTCATGTCATCTTTTCAAACGAGACAGTATGTGGCCGTGGGGATACATCGACATTTGCATTAGATGTACATACACCCCTCATGATATTGTACGCATTTCTTTCAATGTCGTCGCTTCTAAAGTTAAAATGAAAATTCCGTATTCGTCCACATGAACATCAAAATATCAATAATTAAACTCTTCATCTATTTCAATTTATATCAAATCGCACATTGATATTTTCTAAAATCTTATAGGCTACGTTTTGTTTTGATTCGAGGAAATGCGAACCGACATTGTTGACAGAAAGTCAAAGTTACGATTTGCTGCAATAGGATATTCATGAATGCAGATAATTTCAGTAACAAGTAAACAATTCTTTTCAATTCTATACTTACATTGTGCATTTGAGGTCTATAGTATTCAATTCTCGGATTTATCAGGTCTTTGGATTCTGTGGAAAACCGTGAATAAAGGGAGGAAAATAAACATCTCCTACATTATCAGAGTTGTTCCTCTTTGATCAGTAAGGGTCTGAGAACAACATCGATTTTACATTGTAACAAGTTTTTTGTTTATTTATTGTTGTTTTATTTAATTAAAGAAGAAAAACAATATTTATATCGTGTATGCACAAATTGTAATGAAGACCATTAATCGGAATGTTATATAGCCAATTGTACATAATTAGAATTTCGGCAATGTAAAATAAAATTTTACGAATAAAAAAAAATGCTGCGCTTTGATCAAAAATACAATTTTTTGTATATGAAATGAAATGAAATAAACATTAAGGGATGGTATTTTAAGTCTTGCTTTTTACGGAGTTTAATCGGGTTAATTAAAAAAAATACTAATTAATTGAGTATGGTACGCACAATCACAGCCAAGCCCCATATCCCAATTTTCTTTCATGATTGATATACATCGGGATCGTTTACTCGTATTTTTGACGCTTTATTTCTGACGTTAAATTTGACGTTACGTCAAACGTTCAATTGAAATCGCAAGAGTTATCTCCCCCAGTGTGTTGTACGTCTTTAAGTCAAATTTTCAATCGCCTATAAATATTCATTAATAATTACGGAATTTATTTATAAATTTGCAGATGATAACATCTCTGTGAAATAACATTGAAAAATATTTTAATTTTGGTTTGCTTCAGCCTTGACTTCTACAATATTTTATAATCAAATATAGATTTTGACTTTTAAGCTTAAGATCCCGGGGCTGATCTTACTATCAGAATTTCGGAGAGCGTAGTACCTGTAACAAAGACTGATCTGATTTCAATCAGATTGATATGGGAGTAAAAAAAACGAACGTCATTGATTGTGTGTGTGTGTGTGTGTGTGTGTGTGGGGGGGGGGGGGGGGTTGAGTCTGCATGATGCGCTGCGCTAGCTCTCTACGATGCTTATGAATAAGAATTTATCATATCATCGGTCTTTAATTGACTTTTTCATTCACTAAAATTCCTGATGTTCTGTGTAAGCTTCGGTTTTTAAAAACTTTATCTTAATTAACCGCTTAATTTATAGATCAAACAGAATTAGAAAATAGCAAGAAAATATAATCGGACCACGACGAGAGTCGAACTCGCATAACCTCGATTAAAAGTCGAGTGCTTTAACCAGTTAAGCTACGTGGTCTTCATCTCTGTAATGTGCATAGGTTAGGCTATTGAAATGCCAGAAAGTAGAAGAAATTGTGAAATGTTCATGAAAAATCCATTTTCCTTGTTTCATTGAATTGCATCATCAAATTCTTAATCTAATCTTAGTCATCCATTCAACGTTTAGAAGATAAAATTTGCAAGTTATGCTGCATCCTTAAATATGTGTCATATAGACGCCGATGGTGATTAAGGTAAAAGAAAGTATATTATTTATTCAAATAAAACCTTTTTTCATCCGAAAAAATGGCGCGAAATTTATTATAATCATGTGACTATCACGTGACAATTTCAAGCGCAGAGTTTAAAAATGTCGGACAGCGAAGACAATGTGCCGAATTTGTGTACAAAGAAATCTCGTATGTCGCTCAATCTAAATGCCGATGGATCTGGAGATGATCAGGTTACATTTTTTTTTAACAAACAGCTAAATTATTTATTTAACATGTGTCAAGAGGCCTTATAAATAACATCTAAATAGGTCTAAAATACAATAGCCAGGATATATCCCACTAAAAATACAACATTATGCACATCATGGTCTTAGTCATTGTCATTATGCATATATATCTATTGCATTGTGAAATCAGTAGAAAACTGTTAAGAGAGTTTGGAATTGGTAACTAAAATTAGATAGAATTGTGTTCCTCAAATCTGTATAGATAGTTTTCAGTAGACCCAAATTAACAAGAGTTATTTCCCATTGGCCGCCATATTGGGGGTCAACATCCTCATATTCCTTCATTATTCAACCAACTTTAAATTTTTAAACCGGCAGTTGTGGGGTGTGAAGCATTGTTTTTCTTTCAAATATATATTTGTTAGAGGCAGCTCCTTTATTTCATAATTTTTTTCCATAAAGATTTTCCCCTAAATATTTCTGCTACACCCTCTTATATTTGGTAGGACAAAGAGGGAAAAATACCAGGTTGACCCCCAATATGGCGGCCAACGGGAAACAACTCTTGTTAATTTGGGTCTACTGAAAACTATCTATAGTCAATAGTTTACAAATTTTTGTTTTCTGAAGTGAATGAATTACACTTCCATATATTTACATACCTGTCAACATGGCCAAAATTTTTCGGGGGAGAAAACGCGCGACGACCTCTTGCAAATACAAAAAGTCGCGCATTTCACTGTTTATAGAACAAAAATAAACAACTTACAAGATAAACCTTTAATTATTAATAT